GGACAACGATATATGATATGAATAAGAAGACATGCATGCAAAAACCCCCGCCTCGCCGCACCTTTCGTCAGCCGTGAGTGATGTTCTTGGGAGAGATGAATAGTATTCGAGGATTTTCCAATCGGGATTTGCATCATCTATGGGGGGATAGGGGTGGAGTCGCGGCCGTCCTTGCCTTCAGTGGATTCCGTGGGCTCAGGGGGAGCGATGGTGGCGCCGCCGCGGCCGTCGAAGTACTTGGCGAACTCGTTGGATTCGGGCCATTCTCTCGGGCCGAGAAGACGGATCATGTCGTCGCGGCTGAGGACCTCCTTGGAGAGGAGTTCCTCGGCTACGATGCCGACTTCCTTCTTCTTCTTGGTCAGGAGATCGTGGCACTGCTTGTGGGCCTGGTCGATGATGCGGCGGACTTCACCGTCGATATCCCGAGCCGTTTCTTCGGAGAAGGGCTTGTGCATCTGGCTCTTCGGGTCCTCCTCGTAGTAGATGTAGCGTAGCTTTGATGACATACCGAACTTGGTCACCATGGCGGTGGCCATCTGAGTGACCTTGTTGAAGTCGTCGCTGGCTCCGCTAGTGACTGTGTCGAAGTGCAGTTCCTCGCTGACACGTCCTCCCAGGGTCATGGCCATACGGTCCATGAGCTGGTTTCCGTTCATCAAGTAGGTGTCGCCGTTGGCGGGCAGATATTGGGCATAACCCAGAGCGCCTTGGCCACGGGGGATGATGGAAACCTTGAGAAGAGGATCAGCCCAGCGGAAGTACCATCCACAAATGGCATGTCCGGCCTCGTGGTAGGCCACAACACGCTTCTCCTCGGGTGAAAGCACAAGAGACTTCTTCTCCAAGCCACCGATGACACGTTCAATGGCCTGCTCGAAGTGCTTCATGGTGACATGATCGGCGTTTTCACGGGCCGCTGTACAGAAGCTGGTTAGTATAGGGATAATAATATAGGGAATCATCTCTTCTGCAAGGGATTTCTATACATACCAACCAGAGCGGCTTCGTTAACGCAGTTTGCGATATCAGCACCAGCAAAACCGGGTGTCAAGGCCGAAAGTCTTCCTTGAAGGTATTCCATGTCCTCCTTCGTCACGATCTTCTTCAAGTGAACGCCGAAGATCTGCTTACGGCCATCCATGGTAGGCCGGTCGATAGAGATGTGCCGATCGAATCGTCCAGGACGCATCAGAGCCTGATCGAGAACGTCGGGTCTGTTCGTACCAGCCAACACCACCACTTGCTCGGAAGTGTTGAAACCATCCATTTCGGTAAGGATCTGGTTCAGGGTGCTCTCGCGTTCATCGTTACCGCCGCCGTAGTTCGACTTCGCTCTTGATTTACCGATAGCATCAATTTCATCGATGAAGATAATGCAGGGCGTCGATTTCCGCGCGTTGGCGAACAGATCACGAACTCGGGAAGGACCGACACCGACAAACATCTCGACAAACTCCGAACCACTGACACTGAAGAAGGGCACGCCGGATTCACCAGCCGTGGCCTTGGCAAGTAACGTCTTACCGGTACCCGGAGGACCCGAAAGAATGGCACCACGGGGGATTTTGGCACCCAGCTTCTGGAAGCGTTCCGGGTTCTTCAGGAAGCTGACGAATTCCATGATTTCCACCTTAGCTTCATCCATACCAGCCACGTCGGAGAATTTGATCTTGATGTCGGTCTCTTGGTTGAAACGTTTGGCACGGCTCTTGCCAATGCCAAAGATGCCACCCTGACCACCTCCGCTACCTGCACGTCTCGACAGGAAATATACACCAGCCAAAAGAAGAACCGTGGGACCGAAGCTTATGAGTGTCGCAGCCCAGGGGACTTCACCCTGGTAGTTGACCGGAATGCGTTCAGCACTAGGGACACCAAGTTCCTGCTGGGCCTCCTCCAATTTCCTCTCAAAGCCGTCGACGGATCCGATGGTGAAGTAGTAGTAGAATCCCGGATGAGCAGCAGGCGACTCGGGGTAGACTTGAGCCACCGCATCACGGTGAAGTTCTACCCGAACCCGGGTGTTGTTAATGACGGTCAGCCTCTCAACTAAGCCCCTGTCGAGGAAGTTGGCCCGGAACTCCTGCCATGTGATATCGCTGCTGTTTTCGCTCGGGTAGAAACTGCGGTAGATATAGTAACTGACAATCAAGCCCGCCCAGAAATATATGTTGTCGAGCTTGAAAACAATCATATCTCGAGGGTCTCCCGGATTCTTGCCGAATGGGTTTTGGTCCTTCTGGTCCTTCCGCTGCTTATCTTGTTCTTGGTCCTTCTTCTTTCCTTCCTGATCCTTCTTCTCCCCCTCTTTCCCTGGTTGCTCTCCTTCCTCTGCATTCTTCTTCTCTAGTTCCTCAATTTCCTTCATCAATCGCTCGTTTTCGATCCGCGCTACGCCACGAGCGATATCATCGAGGTAACTGGCTAGGTCGCGCATCAAACGCATGTATGTCATGAGGGAGGCAGGACGCCCGGTGGAGATATGATTGTCGATGAAATCCTTCACTGGCGGAGGTAATCCGTTCCTCTCGATATGCAGTTTCACGTCGTCGAGCATCTCATGTTGACTCCGTGGTGACCGTTCTTTCAGATGTGCGATGAATTCATCTAGATGTTTCTGTTGTTCCTTGGTGAGCACATTCTCCTCTTCCGGCTTCTTCGGGTCTCCGCCATTATTCCCGGGCCCGGTTGATGAGCTCGAGTTCTTGTTGTTGCCATTGTCGTTCGGGGGGGTCGGACCACCGGTGGGTTGAGTAGCGAACGTCCTGGCTCGGTGCGCGATAATCAGGGCTGACAGTCTCGACTGCGGAGCGTGTGCAGAGAGCGGCCTTGTGCGGTAAAGGCAGTCTGCGGCTCTCCTCGAATATCGAGCAAGGTTGCCAGGCCGCCGGAGCAGAGAGGCCATGGTCGAGGATGATGAGCCCGGAGGCTAAGGTAAAGGCGCGGCGGGGTTCTGAGATTTCAATGGCACCTCGAGGCTGATGCGGCCATAGAGGCTCTTCTTGAAACGGAGGTGGCGGGGAAGGTGGAAAGCTCTTGGAGGAGCTGAGGTCGCCTGTGAAGTTCGCTCACGCGCTTTCCCGCCTTCTTGCGTTTTTCGTCCTTCCGTTCGCCGGCTGACTCATCTGCCCACCGCCGCCGCCGGCCAGAACCCAAAGGAAGTCGGTGGACCTCAAGCATCAGTAATCCAGGCTGTGCTTGGAAAGATTGCACAATCAGGTTGAGATCTATTGATGATATCACTCTTCACTATCTGTCTGTGGTCTACGGCATGTATAGGGTAGATGCTGGAAGCGGGTGGTGGTGGTGATGACGGTAGGAGCACTGGTGGGGAATGCTGAGATTACACACTAGAAAGCCTACTAAAGTAGTGATGCCATAGAAGGGTCCTACTGCAAGTTAGAGTGCTCTTGCTGGAAAGGCGCAAGAGAAGTACTACTGGTACACCCTGTGGCTAGAGAACCAATGAGTTCCGTCCTCCAATCCACTAGCACTTCACAACGGGTGATTCTATAGAGCACGTCTTTGTATGATTAAGTCAATATACCTGCAAAGAAAGCAACAATTTGGACATGAAAGTTCATCCCAGAGACCACTGGATACTTTTGGATAGGAAAAGCTTGAAACAACAGAACAAACCCAACTCCATCATAACCTCAAGGTATCGAACCCGACTAGATAGCCGGAGAGAAAGAAACGTAAGAAACGCATAGCCCTTTAATCGACATCCATCTCCTCCTGAGTAGTTCCATCCACCAACATTCTGGTCTTCTTCTTCTGTCTGAGACGCTCCTCGCCGTGCAGTCTGCTTGCCTTGGCAGTCTCGGCCACCAACGGCTGTCCTTCTTCCCGCTCGCGGAGCTCCTTGCGGATGAGGTGCTCGCCCTCCATGACCACCTTGCGATCCGCCTCGCGCTTGCGGTCCCGCGCAAGCTTGCCTGCCAAACGACGCTTCGTGAACACACGCTCCCTGCGCTGCCGGATCTCCTCCACTCTCTCCATCGCCTTGATAGTCGCCGCAACCAGGTTTCTGTCGTACTTGACGGGGACGTTTCTCTTCTTGGCGAACTGGGACAGCACCAGCGACGAGTCGACAATCATCTCCTTGCCCTTGGCAGCGCGACCGGCCTTGGTCCACTTCACACGTCTCGGTTGGCGCTTAGCCTTGAAGTTCTGATGGGTGGTAGGAGTTAGCTTAAACCTGATAAGACCGGGGCGGGGCTAGAACTTATCATTTGCTTCTGCAAAACCGGAATGCCTTGGCGTCATTTCTAACAAACTGGATACCCTTGCTAGGGTAAACAGGCCTGGAGCAAAAGTGGCACGTTTCAACTCTGTCAGGTAGGTCAGCCGCAAGTCCTTACCGCTGGATAAATTTCTCCCGGGATGAGCAGAGGCAAAACGCCGGGGCACGCACCTCATGTTGGGCTAGTTGTTTAGAGTCTGTAAGCCCGAAAGTGGCGATCAGAAGAAGTAGGAGAAGATTTCTGATGAATGAGGTAAGAAGCCACAAACAACTCCTCGATCCCACCGTCGTGTAAAGAAGATCTCCGATGTTCAGGACAGGAACCGCATCAAAAATTGAAGCGTGGAGCAACCGGCGCTAAACCATAACGGGAAATGCGGCGCCGCTCCGATTTTTTATCTGGACTTCCGCTTCTCCCCCAACGTCACTCCTTGGATATCCCTCCTGCTGTGTCCTACGACCTTCACTCCATCTACTTCTGAACTAGTCGCTCGACTGTTTCAAGATGTCTACCATTGCTATCGGTCTTGGTGTCGCTACTGCGGCCTTCCTGGTAAGTCTGACTTGGGAACTGGGCTGTATCCGCATGCTGGATGACATGAGGCTAATACGTACTTTCATCTGCCAGGGTCGCGCCGGTCTTGTTGCCTACCGTCGCTCCAAGGGAGGTGTGAACGCCATGGGCAAGGCCTTCTACAAGGGGTTAGTCATATGCCGTTATATCATGAGTTACCGTCATCGATCGCTAACTAGTATTCAGTGGTTTCGAGCAGCGCATGACTCGCCGTGAGGCCGCCTTGATTCTCGAGCTTCCGTACGTCTCAACCCTTCAGACACGCCATATTTTTCGATTTTTTTCTAACCAACTATATAGGGAGCGTACCCTGAACAAGGACAAGGTCCGCAAGAAGCACCGTCAGCTCATGCTGCTCAACCACCCCGATCGTGGAGGCAGCCCGTACCTGGCGACTAAGATCAACGAGGCCAAGGAGTTCCTCGACAAACACACTTAAGGCTCCTCCTACTCGGATGCTTAGCTGACGACAGTTCGGGGCGTTTGTGGTGTGGGAGAGGAAACACGAACATGCACGGGATACTTTAGGTATCTTCTATTGTACAAGAGAGATTATATTTAGGGTGTGCATAGCGAGGCGTTGGTGGGATTCCTTTTTCCGAAGATGAAAGATATGTCTTCGTGCTCCTTGCGTGGGGCTTTGTATTATTGTCTACTATATCCTGATGAGATCGCCACTCTTGAATATATAACTATCCGTTTGGTATTTCGTTTGTCACTATACCTTCTGCTTTCTCTCTTTTTCAAGGGCCTACTGATGGGCCTGTGGCGTAAGTCGGGAGCATGCGTGTCTGGCAGTTAATGGTTTCCAGCCGCTGCCTTTGATCTTGTATCAGTCTCTTGGCACTTGCTTTATGATTGTATGGCACTTGATGTGTAGAACTTGTCACAGCTCATTTGATCAGGTGCATGCAGACAGTGATTGACAGTCCAAGCACTCATATGCCCATGCGCTAGACCATCAGATAATATCTACGTTTCATCTAGGCTACTACTGGACTACTGCCTATGGGTCCAAGATACACCCCTGAAATAGCTAGTAGACACACGTCACTAAGTTGGCAGCCTAAAACGCCCCGATCTGAAGCGGGAAGAGAGTGCCAAATGGATAGAACCCCACCGACAGAGAAAGAAAGTAACATGGAGCAGGGGTTAAACTCCCTAAGGCAGAAAGAAGGAAAGGAAGGCTTGCCGCCGGACTGGGCAAAGTCCGAAACACCGATGGGCGCCAGCAAATTCAGGAAAAGAGCCAGACTGCCAAGCCGAGGCCGGCCGGGACGGACTGTTCGGAGAAAAAGCCATCCGTCACCTGCCCATTTTCATTCGTCCAGAAACGGAGCCCGGTTGGATCAGATTCCGTGCTGGACTAGTCAACTCTGGGTCTTGAATAGGATCCTTGTAAAAGTACCTAGACTGGGACTGGGGAACAATGCGAGTCACGGTAAGCAAGCTGTAGACTACTCCATGGCTGATACCGAGTAGATAATTCAGGAGCAGTTCAACTGATTAGAATACGTGAATACGAGACGACGATCAGTGTCCCTGGACAGTAACATCATCAATTAAAACCTCAAGCAACTGCAACACACTTCAGCCGATCTTGTAGATGATCCCTTAAGTCCGTCCGCAGCGCTACTTACCTCCGTTTCAGGGACAACAAAGTATTGACTGGAACAGTATCGAAGCTCTGCTTACCTACTCGTGTTTTCGTTTTTTCGTTTGTACCCTTTCTTACTCTTTTAGGGCAGAGAAAGCCAAAAAGGCAGCAAAGCTGTTACGTGACCAGTTGAACCTTCGTTAGCTCGATGACTCCTCCAACTCTCTTCCAGGAGCTGTGACTGACGATCGTGTTCATATTTTCTTTTTTTTTACTGTGGCATGCCCCCATGAGTTTCTGATGGATTATTGTTGAATCTGTCTGACAGATCAGATCATTCCCCTTCAGTCCCTCATTTTCCCCTTGGGAAGCTTTGACATCATCTCCGTTACATTTCTTTTCTTACCCCAATTTTCCATTTTTTGCCTTATCGTGCTAGACTCTCGCCACGTGCCTGTATCGGGGAAAGATTGAATTGATTGAGTAAGCCACACTTCTTTCCTCAGCCATTCCATCATTCATTGCCTTACGGTCTAATTCCTCCCCTTTACCTTCTACTACTACTACTTCAATCCTATTTCTTTTTTACCCCACCGACTACAGGCTCTAACCCCAGCTCACCCTAGTCGTTCCTTATCGGCATCTGGATTTTCGCGACACCTTCCCGCCCCAACAGCCGCTCCCTCCCATCTGCCCGTTGACGTCGTCGGGGACGAACCCCGCATCGCCTAAGACGCTCGAAGCATACCCGCTTGCACTGGGACTCCACTTCGTCACATAGGCAGGCTCCTATACTTTGCACGTCGCTGGATCCTCGCCCCCCATCACCATGGACGGCATCGGAGAAGCGCCCGATGGCATGGGCTTCGACATGCCCATGCTCATGAACCAGCAGCAGCAATTCTTCGGCGCCTATGGACCGGATGGTTCGCCGATGGCGTCCGCTCACCAAAGTATGTCTTACCAGGATGAGCAGTCAATGGGCGCCGGAGAAGATACCAATGATGCCAAGAGGCGAAGAATTGCAAGGGTAAGTCGACAGTGATGCGCATGAAGGAGGGTGTTATTTTCCTGGATCTCAGGGCGCTGATTGTTCGCCGCATAGGCATGCGATATGTGCCGGAAGAAGAAAATTAAGTGTGATGGGAAAATGCCCAAGTGCTCGCACTGCATCAATTACAAGACAGATTGTGTGTTCACACAGGTCGAGAAGAAACGAAATCCGCCAAAGGGGTATGTGCTCCGTCTGTCTACCAGTTCATGTATTTTATGTGGCTGACAGATTTGCTCTTGAACAGCGCCAAATATATCGAAGGACTGGAAAACCGGCTGGGCAGGATGGAGTCGCTGCTCCGTCTGTCTGGATTACTGTCCGAAGACGATGGTGGAAAGACCGATCTGGGAACGTTGGAGAAACGCTTGGCCGATCGATCGCTGGCAAATGGTGGACTAAGTCGTCCTAAAAGTCCGAATAGATTCAATGCTCCTCAATCCAACGCTCAATCGCAACCGACTACTTCATCGCATCATTCTACTCCCCGTGTGGATTCTCACTCTAGCCCGCGCACAGCTGCTACGTCGCCGGAATCACAGAAAGAATCTGAAACCGAGGTTGAGGGCTTGTCGGATATGATGTGCTCGCTGGTGACGAACAATTGCGGAGAAACGCGTTACATTGGTGAGTGTATCTTGGATACCCACGGCATGAGCTGGGGTTAATACTTGACAGGTTCCTCTTCGGGGTTTTCGATCTTTTCTCCCAAGGGTATTCAGTGGGTCAACGAAAAGACCGGCGACACTTCATTCCAAGACATGATATCATCTGCTTATATCGACGATAACAAGTGGATGTATTGGAAGCCGGAGATATTCAGCGATATCTTTGCCCGTCGCGTGTTCAAGCCATTGCCGCCCAAGGAAGAGGCCATGTCTCTCTTTCGAGATTTCTTTTCCAACTTCAACTGTATGTTCCCGCTCTTCCACGAGCCGACTTTCATGCACTTGGTGGAACGTCAATATTCTCGGGATCCATATGAGGGATCTGGCTGGTGGGCTAGTATCAACGTGGTCCTGGCGATCTCGCACAGACTTCGAGTTATGAGCAATCTAGTCCCCCAGGAAGAAGATAAGAAGGCCTGGCTGTACTTGAAGAATGCTATGGCTGTTTTGACTGAGCTTACTATGCGAAACACGGATCTACTAAGTGTTCAGGCGCTGCTCGGCATGGTAAGTGATCCAGTTCAGAAGTAATCCTGATATGGTCTTAGAGTGCTCATTGGTCCGTAGTCGCTTTTCCTGCAAGGGACACCAAACCCCCAGCCGTCGTTCTTCCTGGTTGCAGCTGCCATCAGACTTTCTCACAGTATTGGTTTGCACAAACGGGGTTCTGGGTTCGGCTTGAATCCGGTGGAAGTGGAGCAGCGGAAACGAGTGTTTTGGATTGCCTACCTTCTGGACAAAGAGTAAGTTACGTTCGACATGTCAGACCGATACCTCTTCTAACAAATCGAATAGTATCTGTCTCCGGTCTGGTCGCCCACCAGTTCAAGATGATGATGACATGAACGTCGAATTACCGAGTGATGACCCCCCGGACAATATCGGCAACGTTCCACTATCGGACGGTACCAAGTTCAATTTGTTCAGATCCATGTGCCGCTTTGCCATCATTGAAAGCCGAGTGTACAAGCGACTCTATTCCGCCAAAGCATCGAAACAGTCTGATGGCGAATTGTTGAACACCATCGGAGATCTTGATAAAGAGCTCGAAGAATGGAAGGATAGCATTCCCGTTGAACTCCGACCCGAAAACGAAATCAAGACAACCCATACGCCCCTTATACTGCACGTTGTAGTGCTCCATTTTGCGTACTACAACTGCTTGACTACCATCCACCGCATGTCCGTACACCACGGCTACTGGACGAGTCGACTATCCAATTACGCGATTCAAGGCCTGAACGCGAGACCGTTGAACCCCAGAGTGTTTTTGTCGGCAGTTCTTTGCGTCACAGCTGCGCGCGCCTTTATCAATCTTATCAAATACATACCACAAGGCGATTTCGCCTGTGTCTGGTGAGCACTGCGCTGAAATAAACTGCCCGGCTCAAAGCTAATGTGGAATAGGTTGATACTTTATTATCCGGTCTCCTCTCTGGTTACCCTATTTGCTAATATCCTGCAAAATCCTAATGATGCGCGGGCTCGCTCTGACGTCAAGTTGATGAACGTGGTCGTCAACTTCCTGTCTACTCTCGTCTCCGACGAGTCGAACGGAAGTGTCAAGCGTATGCTTGCTCTCTGCGGTGAATTTGAACGCATCGCCCAGGTAGTCCTCGATAAAGCCGAAAGAGACAGCCATTCGAAGAAGAAACGCAAATCTGCTCCCGACGAATCACGGCATGCGCCAGGGCAAACAGCAGATGACAATCGCCAACCCGCTACACCAGCTGCGAAGCCAACAGATTCAGCACCGCGGCAACCCCCCACGACCGTTCCCTTCTCCTCTCCCTCGTTCACTAATAATACCAACCAGCCCGCAGCCAACATACCTAATGAGACACGAAATTTCACCCCAGGTCAGCCGCTCCCTGGAGCGAACGGCTTCACTACGAATCTCCAGGACAGCATGCACGGTCTGTCAGGGCTCGGATCAGACTTCGAAATGATTAGCCCAAATGACCTTGAAGGCGTCAACTTCGGCGACCAGGCACCCTTTACAACCAGTCCCGATACCCCTCTAGCACCCTTCCAACAACCCTTCGTCCCACAAGACCTTTGGCAAATGCCAATGACAATTGAATGGGACTGGGCAGATATGTCGAATAACTTCCCCGTCTTCGGCGACACCAACAACGGCCCGCCGAACGGACCTTAACATGACGACACGAAGAACCCTCCCACTCTCGAACCCATAATCTTCCCAGTTATTAGCGGACTCCTGGGGTCTTCAGCACGTACATACAGACAAATTGTCACTTCCTTCCTCTTCTCTGACCATATTATAATTCGTCTGGGCTCTCGGCGTTTTCAAAAGTCTAGGACGCACGCGCAAAACTATCACGCCACTCCACTATGATTGCTTCTTTCTTACTGTCATTACCTCCTCCCTCCTCATTTACTTTTTCTGCCGTCTTCTTACACATGTTCTTTTGGGGGAAGCTTTCTCAAGGGAAAGACTGCATTTATTTTTCTGTTTCTTCTTGTTTGGCGTCGGTTGGCGAAATATACATCCGGTTGAAGGTGTAATATCATCATACATACATATGATAGGTAGTCATTTGCTATCAAGGTACTTAGTTACTTTATAAGTTGTCTCTCTCCCCGATTAACCATCTTACATCAAATATCGCTACAAATAACTAGGTTTGGTAGGTCAGTTCCTTCAAGACACGGAGTTCCCAAATTAGGAACATAAACGGGTGATGAAAGAACAATAAAAATTACTACACCATACATTGAGTAAGAAAGATACACTGTTTGTTTCAAAAAATGATGATGTTTCCAATTCAAGAATCCTACTACAACAGTAGAATACAGATATACGAACGATGTCATGCATCTATGACCTCCGCATCACGTAAGAATGTATTTATTTATTCATATAAAGTATTGATTTATGATTGATTCGTAAGTCGAATGTAGAAGATGAACTTCCCTCCTTCACGGCACCCTCAGCCGGATCCTAAAAAATGGATAATGCAAGATCATGACGTTCGGTTTGGATAACCGAGATATAGTATAGGAGTAAAAAAGAAAAAGAAAAAGTGAAGGGACCAAGAAATCATACGCAAAAACACCTTGACGTCTGGTACGAGGATGCAGCGACTTAATAGGTACAAAAAAATCCAAACGACAAATGAAATTGGTATAAACGGACATTGTGAGTGTGGGTGGGTCGGCGGACCTTGTTCGGGAAACCTGGCCGAGGTATACAAATCCTGGGGTAAAGTGGCATACATGCAAAAGGGGGTGTTCCAACTCCAGTTTCAACGCAACTAGTCAAAAAGAATAACCAGCATTTACAGAAGTCGCGCAAAGCTCGTACATGTCATCAAGTGATGGCTGCAATACAGCGGTCTGGCCAGCGATCCAAGGCTGACCAGAATGAAAATGAAGATCCGGAGGGTGGGAAGGAGGAAGTCTAGACGGACGTCAGTCGTCGTTCTACTCTTCCATTCGGCCAAAGACGCCATCGTCATCATCATCGGCCTGTGTAGGCCGGCTTCCGAAGTCGACGTCCGCGTTGCGGTGCTGCCGCTTGGCACGGTCAGCATTGCCGGTTCTCACTTCTCGCTCGTCGGACACCTTATAAGACAAGGAGGGGTTAAATGACAGCGAGAGGAAGTTCGGTGTGGTGCTGGAGAAAGCCGCATCGGTAGCACCTGTTCTCGATTGATCCAGGCTACGGCCCTGATTGTCGACGGAGCTGGCTTGATCCAAGTAGCGGGTAGGGAGTGGAGGCACCGGTGGCACGCTCGGAGACATTTGCTGTGGCCCCATGCGCGGGGTTCCAAAGTTGCAAAGTCCGATGGCAGCCGCCAAGTCGGCCTCATCGTCTTCGTGCAGCTTGGCTTCGGCGGTGGAGGGGCGGGTGTCGATGCTGGAATGGCGGAAGTGCGAAAACGCTGGTGACGCCCATGGGGCACTGCTGGTGAAGGAGCTCGAGGGACCGGACTGGTAGGAATGGGAGAAGTGGGCTGACAGGTTGCCAGCGCTGTACCGCTTGTCCATCGTCGCCGGTTCGATAGACATATCTTCGTCGTCATCGTCATCATCTTCGTCCATCGGAGGCGGGGTCGTCTCAGCTGAGCTGAGGCCGTCCCGAAGCTCCGACGACGCATCTGGTGACGCGGAAGAAAGATCCGACTCGGCCTCTCCGTTCTCCTCCGGATCATCCTGAGTCATGGTGACCAGAACGGAGGCAGCCTCCAGCAACTGGACCTGCTGATGTTTGGAGATCAAAAGCTTCGAGGTAATTGCCCATGCAGGGTCGTGTTCCCACCTAAGTTCCATAAAACGTCAACCCACTGCGTCCCAGCACGGCAAGAGAGAGGTAGAGGAGAGGAGAGATGAGATAAGGGGAGCTGGATGACCACGAGGGCGACCTTGCACAGAGCCGACATGGCGCATTGCTCCGGACCGAGCCAGACGGCAGGATGGCATGGGGGGAGGATACACACATATGCTTGGACAAGCAGCTGCCATGCTTATACCCTTTCCCGCAACGATCGCAGCGAAGTTCTGCCATGGCACGCTTCCCTTCGCCTTTGACCAGGTGCGATCCTTCGCTGGCCCGTCTGTTTCGGTTCTTAGTGCTGACCGGCTTGGAATTCGGGTTATTGGCATCTGCATTTGTTGGGCCCGTTGACGATCCATCGTTGGCCTGGTTGGGTGACGTCTTGCGAGCGACCGGCGGTTCTTGGCTGGGACTGTTCATGCTTCGTGAAAGATAAGAGCCGAAACCGGAGGGGGCTCCGACCGAGCTGGACTCTAAGCCCTTCCGGCTCCCGCGCCGATGGGAGGGCATCGTAATCCCCGTCCCATCGCCAGGAGCCTCTTTCATAGACGCCGCGACCGCCGCAGCGGCAGCATTTGCGGCGGCGGCAGTAGTAACGCTCTTGCGGCGAGTCACCCGGAAGTTGGAGTTCACGGCACCGAGGGAGATGGAGTGGGAATGGTGGCGGGGGTTATGTTGGGGGAGCGGACGGGAAAGGGACAATTCCTAAGAGATAAGTATGACTGTGTTAGCCTGACCCACTGGGAAAGGGTGGTGGTTTAATCCACACAACGACTATAGCCGGAGTGGCCGTGAAAGGGAAGCTGGAGAAAGTTACCTTGAATGAGGCCATCTTTGAGTACGTGGACTCTCAGGCCTACAATCCGATGAATGCCCTTTTTGTGGTGAGCGATGGAGAAGGAGTAATCGATGCGGAGTGTTGGTGCTGATAAACAGCCAGATGGTGGAGAGGTTGAAGCTGGAGAGGAAGAATAAAAAAAAAAAAAAAAAAAGAAGAGAGAGGCGAAAGAAAGGAAAGAGGAGAAAGTGAGAGACGGTTGGAAAGCTAGTTTAACTGGTAGGCGAATCCCAGGGATACGAGCGGGCGACCAGGTACCTGCGAGGCTAAGGGTAAAAAGGTTCAGGACCGAAGCAAGCAAGCAAGCAGTCAATCACGGGGTCAATTGGGGGAGGGGGGTTGAGTCAATGGGGAGGCGAGATAGATTTAAGATAAAGGGAGCGAAAGATTGGTGGATCAATGAAAGAAAGGGGAGAAGGAAATAGTAGAAAGAGGAGAAGAGTGAAGTAGACGTAGATGTGGAAGATGGAAGGGGAGGAAGGAAAGTTAGAGAGAGAGAGAGAGAGAGAGAGAAAGTAAGAGACCAAAAGAGGAGAAAGAGGAGACAAGACAAGGACAGACAGACACAGAACAGAGACAGAGAGACAGAGACAGTCACGACAGAACAGCTACTGTTACTAGTGAGTGGTTAACCAAAAAAGCTGCAGGGCGATGCAAAGATGGACGGATTGGATGGCAGCACGAGGCCGTCTGGCTGGGACGGGTTACAGCCCTTGATTGGATGAGGCCATTGTACGATTACTGCGACTTTACAAGATTACCGGAAATCTACTAAATTCAATGATGAATGACGATATGCTCCCGTATTGATCTAAATATTTTAAGGTAATTTTTACTCCCTTCCTTCCTCTTTTTGTTTTAATTTCATTGCTTTATTTTGCGGGGGGGTCGCCATTTTTCCAATTCGGCCCTTTTTGGGTTCGCTAGTCCAAGTCCAGGAGTTGGCCTTGAGCAATGCGGGGGTTCGGGCGATCAGACACTGGGAAAACTTACTAAAAGTGCTCCATTTAATTTCGCCATTCAGCTTATCCGTCAGCTTCGGGCAAAATCACTAAAAAAAATAATTGCCGCTGTTTTGCAAGTCAACCTGACGATTATCTTACTTTGAAACATTTGATTGATTCAATAGAAGGACTGGAATTCCTTCAGGATCTTCTGCTTATTATTATTATTATATTTTTTCTCTCTCTCCCACCATCCTGGTCAGGGTTTGCCCTGGTTCCTGACTAACCGGCGGCCAGCAAGAACAAGAATAACCAGGCAAGTGATGTGATTTGCCCCACCTGCATCGGGCTTCCGAGAAGTGGACTGGAAGGGAACGGGAGACCCAGGTCTGGATGGATGGATGATATCAACCAGTGCCTTGGAGGGTTCCATTGAGAAAAAAAAAAACATCTTGCAAAAGAATAATTAATAATAACACAACGATGACAAAGGAATAAAAAGAAGGAAAATAGTAAAACAAGAATGGTCCAGAAGGTGAATAATCCGCGGAGAGCTTTCATGGAATGTTTCTGTTTGTCTGTCTTGCTTTTTTGCCTGTCTACTATTTCTGGGAATTTCTGTCGCAAAAGGACAAGTGTAGTTCCCAGTCCGTCGTCACCTGTTGGACTGATCATCCGTTCAGCAGTAGCCCACCAGTCCTGGTATGGATGGTGACACCCCAGACATTTTCCTTTTTCTAACATATTTCTTATTTTTTTTTCTCTTTTTTGTTTCTTTTTCTGCCTTGTTGTCTTTTTAAGAAACAGTTGAGACGGTCTAGAATAAAACGAAAAAGACTGTAAAAGATACTATGTCACAAGGTACAATGATCTCCGAAAAGAGAAAGAATAGGAAAAGAAATCCAACAGCTGACAATTATGATTTTCAGTCCCTCCAAAGAATCAGAGGAAACGAACTAATGCCAGTAATCGATCCATTGTGGTACCATGAGTGAATGACTGACTGACTGACTGACTTTCCCACCAAAAATCACTCACTCACTTTGCTGATCGGGGGTGCCCGCCCCGTGGCCATGACCATACGGTAATTTATTACGTTGCGATGGACCGGTCTAGGGCCTGCGGGTGGGGAGATGACATCATGGCGGATGACGGTACCATACGGGTGAGTGGCAGAGGGGCCGGGGAACTGCCACCCGGTTTGGAGTACCGGTAATGTAATATGACGGGGTCACGGCCTTATCTCGAGACCCCCTCCATGGCAGCCCAGCCAAGTTGCCTGCTCGGGTCTAGCGCCGTCAGGAGGCCCGAATCAGTTGATAGCGATTGCCGCCCATTGTTACAAATAGGAATGTGCCTGGCGTGTCGAGGGGGGTTATCAGAGGACAATTATCTAGTCAATAATCAGTTACAAAGTACTAACTAACTCTCTCGCTAGTGATCGGGATGTGGTGCGCTTGACTTACAAAGCAGCTCTCTACTATATCGGGATGCCTTTGAGAATGACCTACTCCTTTGTCCGTTGCAGTTACAATTGGCCGCCGTTTGAGCAGCAGAAACCATTCTGAATGGTCCCAAGAATAAAAAGAAAGGCCCTTGATTCTTCCATCGCAAGATTGACGAGGTTGCCCCAGGTCGCTAGCTACGCGTCAGTCGCTGTGTTATTGCTCTATCAGACGGGCCATGTCAATAGGTGATGCATGAGCTGATAAATCGGTGCTGACTTGGCTCTCTCACAGCATACCCAACGAGCAGCTCCGATTTCGCATTAACTTTATTCTTCGAGGTGCATTACCGACATGGAAGGTAGACACAAATTGCCAGCGTTTCGGATGGGGGCAATGCCACCAGCATAGCGTGATCTGTGCTTCGCTGTTGACACTGTGGCTATGAACAAACACGTCGCGTTGACAGATCAACAGCCAGGATTCGTCGTCGATTACAGATAAAGGAGTAGTTGAAGAAGGAATTGGAAGCTGATCCTTGACCGTTGGGATTTCAACCGCGCGGGGAATCTGGACACAATTGGGTATCTATATAGCAGCCAGCCATATTAACGCGAGGCCTTATAGAAGCACCTCAAAAGGTATGGTGTGATAGTTTTACTAAAGTTCGCAGGTGGCATGAGAAGTTTCAACCGGACGTGGGTTGACTTGCTCGGAGCATCAGCGGTAGTCCGGAGTAGCATCCGACCGATCCATTGACCTGTGATACGCGATGCTCTCTGCAGAAAAGTTACCACGAGCGTTGACCAGGTACATGAGAAGAGAACGACTAGTAAAGTAAGGTAAGCATCAAATCAGGATCGGCTTGTCGATCAGGCCTGAGGATTTCCGGTGATTCGATCCAACGGAAGAGGGTCACTTGCTCGGATTGCAGTGAGTGAGATGCGACCGTTGCTGCAGTACATCAGATGCCTTTCCACCCTCACTGATAATATGAAATGGTAATGAAAACGTCTACTGGCCAGACACTATAATGGGGCCCCTCTCGTTGGTATTCAGCAATGTAAAGCTAACTACGGAGTAGCTACAAAGTAGTACTTAACTGACCACATTCTACTGTCCAGACGCGCCCAACTGAACCCGAAGATAAGCCTCAGTAATTCTCCGGACAGCGAGAAGCTAATCTCCATCGCGCCTCTAGAACATTCAGAAACCAGCATCGTAGCTCTCCACCTTGCACATCATCCCCGAATAACCATGGATAGTCAACTCTCTTTCAAGCCCCAAAAAAAGGGACGGCCCTATACTTCAGGCACTGGTGTCTCCGATTGGCCGCAGCGGTGGTGGGTACACCAATCAATTTCCCACCGTGTGTCTATAGTAGAACCACTTCAAACTCCTCTCTTCCCCCCTCAAGCGCCCCTCCGAGAAAACTATTGAGATAGTCCCTATAATAAGACCCAAGCGAAATGCTTCACTCGCGCCTCCGCCCTCTCCCTCGTCGACATCCCCTCCCCAACTCCGAGGACTCTGCCCCTCGTCCCGACTTCGCCGACCCCGAGACTGAGGCCGACCCGGAGGAGTCCTCCGAAGATCTTTTCGCCGCATTTCTCCCACACCTGTTCCCAGATGATGCGCCCTCTTTCCACGGTGATCCAGGCCAGCATCTTCTCTACTCGTCTCCGCGCTATGGCGATCTCGAGATCATGGTGCCTTCGTACCCAACCCAGAGCGGCAAGCGCTCCCAGGAGGTAGCGGAGGGGCTGCCCCGCCCCGACGGCCAGGTCAACCATGTCGAAGAGGGCCGAAAGCTGTTTGCGCACTTCCTCTGGAGCGCGGCCATGGTTGTTGCCGAGGGGGTGGAGAAGGCAGATGAGCTGGAAGCTAGTGGTCAATTGAAGAGTTCGGATGAGATTGCCATGTGGAGGGTGAGGGGAGAGAGGGTGTTGGAACTAGGCGCTGGTCAGTTTCCTTTACTCCTTCTGAAGTATTCCTAAATTTCACTAGGTATAATACTAACAGTTCTTCAGGCGCCGCACTACCATCCGTCGTCTGCGCCCTCGCCCAAGCATCCACCGTAACAGCAACCGACCACCCCTCCTCCCCCGCCTTATCAGGCGCCATCAAATTCAACCTGGACCACAACCTACGCTCCCCCAAGGTGTCCTCAACCTCCACAACCGTGACAATCCAACCGCACGAATGGGGCACCCTAGAGACCGATCCCTGGGCCGTGCAAAACAAGGCCAGCTTCAACCGCATCGTGGCCGCAGACTGCTACTGGATGCGCTCGCAGCACGAGAACCTCGCGCGCACGATGTGCTGGTTCCTTGCCCCTGGCGGGCGCGTCTGGGTGGTGGCTGGATTTCATACTGGACGGGCGATTGTCGCAGGCTTTTTTGAGACGGCGGTGCAGGAGGGATTGGAGATTGAGCGGATCTACGAGCGGGATTTGATTGCGGGCCAGGAAGATGGACGCGAGGTGCGTCGCGAGTGGGTGGCGCAGAGGGAGGGAGAGGGGCCGGAGAATAGGAGACGGTGGTGTGTGGTTGCGCTTTTGAAGAAGAAAGATGAGTGAATGCCATCAACTATGCCAGAGGAGAGGGATGGATGGATAGATGTGCCATGATTAACGACAACGATACAGCATAGATATAACAGCGAGCCAGACATAGACATTCACATTTATCTTTTCTATACTAGTATTACCTCTATACCAAAGTAAATCAAAATCTAAACCAGGTTATACCCTCTGAAAACACACCGTACAAACACCCTGTCCTTCTCTCCCCCCGAACCTGAACCGAGGATACTCAACCCGTCCCCAAACCACCAACTTATCCTCCTCACCATCACCACCAGAAGAACCAGCACTAGTAGTAAACCAAGCAACAAGTTCCTCCTCCGTCCAATTACAACTAGTCACCACCACAAACCCACCCTTCCGCACCAACCCCCTCACAATCCCAGGATACCTCTCACACACCCTCCTCTGAATAGTCTTCCCGGACGCATGACCATCCTGCCCATCAGGTATAACCTCATCCGACAACGAAACCGCATCAAACGTCCCCTTATCCAGCACGATATCAAACCCGCCTTTATCATACGGGAACCAATCAACCTTTCCCCCAGAAGAAGAAGAAGCGGTATCATGCACATCCCCATGCAAAATATCCCACTCCTCAAACCGAATATTCGTATCTCCACCCTCCCCTTCCCCCTTACCCTCCTCCTCCTCATCAGAATCCGACAAATAAGCCGAATGAATCCTCAACCTCTGCAACTCCCTCGCCAACTCCACACTTCTAATCGAGTAATCAATCCCCACCATGGCACCTTTATACCCGCCTCTTTTTCTCAGTAGGGCCAGCATGCTCCCGTTACCGGTGCCGAGGTCGAGGATACTTGGCTGGTCACTACCCTCCTCCTTCTCCTTCTCCTTCTCCTTCTTCTCATTATTATCGGAGGAGGAGGATGATGATGGAGGAGGGAGTGTGTTCACCGGCGCAAGCGGAAACTCCTCATCCGTGAGGAACTGCAGCACTTTATCCGGGGCATTATGTTCCGAGAACCACGATGTGCCGGGGTCGGAGTCGTCGTCTATATCATCTTCGGATTCTTCATCTTCATCGGAGGTGTTGGGGTTGGGGTTAGAGGTAGGTTTTGTGGTGGTGGTGGTGTGTTTTGTGGAGAGGTGGGAGAGGGTGCGTGCGTAGAAGGTTTCCCAGCTGTAATTGAATTAGAACATTATTATGAGTAGAGGTATAGAACTTGGTTTTGGGGTTGTGGGTATAGATATGGTGGTTGATGATCGATGTTGATATATGGGTTGTTGGAATTCTTCATGAGGGGTAGCGGGGTAGGTAGATTGAAAACTTCGTTGCTTTCGTCTCCGGGTGGATGCTGGCTGCTGCTGCTGCTGCTGCTACTTACTAGTCCTTTGTGCCTAGTTCGCTAGGCGAGAGATGCGCCGGATGGCTGTCGTCGGCCATACTTCCAACTGTTCTTGTGTTCTGATTTGGAGGCAGATTGACTGTGTCGAAAATTCATAAGTCTAACCCGCATGACGTTGAACGCCAGCCGCTCGGCACTCGGCCCGCTTAAAACCCGCTACTACAAAGTAGACTCCATACTAACTACAACCTACATTACATACACTGCTACTGGTGTATAAAGTTCTGTTAAACTTGATTCAATCACTAGCCCCAGGGTATTTCGCAGCTGAAATGCCAAATATCGACAACACAGAATGAGTGGACGAATACACGGGGTGCATCACAAACGAACAGTAATAATATTACAAGTTACCAGGCAACTCTTCGCCGCCCTTTATCATCTTTTTAACACCCAGGACGCCGGTTGACCAAACGCATGCAATGTCGACGCACGGCCTTGAATGCAACATGGACCGCTGGTTGACCAAGGGAATGAAAATTGCACAGTGGCAGATGTATGAACGAAAGAATAACGACCGTAAGCCCGCTTTGGTCATCAAGTCATCAAATCAGGAGGGAAAAGAAAAAAAGGGAAATGGTAGAAGCGAATAGAAAGAGAAGAAATGCCACCACAGCTGAAAGATGGAATGACGGTAGATCGAGTAGATCATAATGAAAAGCTGTAGAGATGGGACAAGGTCAACACGAGTAAACCTCAGGTGTATATGGTCATGGAATCATTTCTTGGACGGGGCTCCCGGAAGCCCGTCCTCAAGACAAGCTGTCTTGGACATTATGGCGGAAATTACAGAAACTCATCAATATTCCTCATGATCAGGCGCTCATTGCCTGGAGGCGGTGATCGAGGGTCTGCAACTCGCGACCCAAACCGCAGCCCGTGTGGACCGTCGTCCTCGAGGCAGTCAGCAATAGAATGCGAAAGAGGCGGGGCCAGAAATCCAGTGGTTCGCGGTGAGAAAAGGGAGCTCATTCCATCCGGCATGTCTTGCACGAAGACATCCGTCTTGGCCAGAGAACATGGCCCGCCTTCGGGACGCCACGAAGGCGCAGTATATTCTGATTGTAGAGTTTTGCCCGTCGGCCCCAGGTGATAAGTAGCCTGCCGGAACGGAAGTGGCCGGGGAGACAAGCTACGCTTGTGTGACAGCGACTGAGAGAAGCCTAGATTCTCTATCGACAGAGGCGTCGTCTGATTTGAGGACACCGAAAGAGAGCTCATCGACGCCTGCGAAAGGCCATTAGACGAAGCTTGCTCCGCATCCGAGCTGCCACTCATAAATCCCGGCGTGCTCGCTTCTGATATGTCCGTCCTCGCTGTTTGTGGTGGCTGAGGCTCGGAGCACCTGCGCGCCCCTCCGACAAACCATTCCTCCGGGGCCGCTTTCGAGAGCTTGCCGCGGATTAGCCGAGAACGAAAGTCCGTCAGCTGGTAGATCAGACTCATGTTGGGGCTGACCCAGCGACTGCGTTCTTTAACAAGCTCGTAGACCGAGTTGAAATCCAACTGTCGGTTTTTGTAGAGGCCATAGGCGATAACCAACGATGCCGATCGACTAGCTCCAAGCTGGCAGTGGATGAGTACTTTTTTCCCTTCAAATATCCGAGAATCGATCAACTCGCAGAGCGGGAATAGATCATCCAGGATCTCGGAGTTGTGGTCCCAACCGACATGAACATATTCCGGTCCAGATGACTCGTTCTGAGGTGTGGCAGGCGAAGATTCGACATTTGGGGGGTATTCGAAGGCAGACTTGAAGGATGCATCGGACATGGCCGTCCATGGTTCGCCAGTCGACAGTCGCTTCGTACTTGCCGATCCATTGCGCAGGGTGCTGACCACCGTGCCGGTGCTACCAGCAGTCGCCGTGAAGGGATTTGCCACCTCCTTGGCCACGTTGACGACCACATCAAATTGTGAAGCTTCTTGCGCGGTCGGCTCCAGGTACAGAAAGACGCCAGAGTCATAGATTTGGATCGGTCCATTCGGATAGCCTCGCTCGTTGCGCCGCGTCGACTCTCTCGAGTCGAGGTGATCATCCTCCTCTTCCAATTCATGCAGCACTTCCGACCCTTCGTCGGGCACCGTTTGCAGAGGGGAGAGGTTGCTCTCTGACGCACCCGACGGTCGCCGTGCGCCATGATGGGTCATCGGTCGGGGTAGTTGCATGCCACCCTTCGGGCCGAATGAGGGGGAAAACACCGAAGTGAGGGACGGGGAGGACTCGGTGTGGCGCAAAGCGTGCGGAGTCGGCGGCACATCGTTACCGTTGCTTGAAAATGACCGATCAAACCCGGGAGTGCGTATCGTAAGATTGGCGGGCTTGCGGCGCATGCCCTTCGGAGGCACATGAATCGGGGAAGGCGGGGCAGAAAGATGGTGTTGGGAGGTGGTTTCTACAACAGAAGCCGTTGCAATAGGTGGGCGTGAACCTTGAGAGGGCAGAGGCATCCTCAGAGAAAGATTCTTGAGGTTGCGTGCGCGCCTGCCGGGGGAGTCGGGCCGTGCGACATTTTGGCTATCCGTTGAGGGTTTCGAGTCGCTGGTTGGAGCCGCCGAGTGCGTTTGGCACTCGGCCTTGTGGGCAACGGGCATAAAGGCAGGATATGATAACGGCATCGATGACGGAGATTCGGGCGAGGAACTCGGGGAGGTATCCACGGCCGAAGGAGGATCGAAAGTGGAGATGGTGGTAGTGGGCAACGAATCAGTGGAGCCTGATGTCATCGACGATATACTTTCGCGATGCTGAAAGGGAAGTGGGCGTCGCGATGTGTTGACTGTGACATTGGTCGGAACCCTTAGTGGTTTGACTAGTGAAGTTCGGCCCTTCGGGTCGAGGAACTCGGGCGACCTCCCAAACACAGACATAAAAGAAGGGAACGAATCCGGGGCTGACGGTGAGCTGGTTTGCACAGGCATGGTGAGGCCCGGGGAGGAGGGAGATGAGGAGGTACACCTGCGTTTGAAAGGGGACACCCTCTCAGGATCGCAGCTGCTATAGATCGTTGGCGCGAATAGTGTAGCCGTAGCACAAGTATTGCCACCAGCCCGGGGAAGACAAGATAGAGTCGCACTTGCTACCAGCGCAAATGACCTTTTGGACAGAGGACAATCAGCTTCCATGGTTCAGCTTATGTTGACCTTCGATGGTATGAGGCAAGCACGGCTGCAAGGAGGGTGAAACCAGAATGGCGATCGGCCAGCTTGAAATGAAACCAAGAGAGCTACCGGCGGTTGTGGAGAGAACCAGGGGAGAAGCAGCAGCAGATGATGGATAGAACGATGGGACGAAAGCCATTCACAGAGGGGTCCCAACAAGGTCCGAGACTGGGAACATACCAAGGAATGCCGCAAGAGAACTGTTGCCTCTTTGGAGGATGTTGTCAGTGACAGGCGTAAAAGGATTGTTATTGATAAACGTCAACGGGAAGCAAGAACGGCGACATGGATAGAAGTCGAAATCGAGAAGTCACAATTAAGATGAAGGAGGGAACGACAAGAACCAGAAAAGAAAAAGGAATAAAAAATAAAAAGAAAATAAGCAGAAAACCAGGGAGGGTCTCTGGATAGTGATGGAGGGCACAATGCAACTGGGAGGAATAGCCGCCCGGTGATTGTGTGGGCAGTCGTTCCTCCGGGGAATGACGAAAGAAGCAGCAGTTGTGGGAGGGTCTCGGTCACAGGGAAGAAGAGGAGAGGGAAGGGAGCAAAGAACGACTGCCCACCCACCCAAAAGAAAATAAAAGCAGGCTTGTGGATAAAGAAGCAAGTCCCCTGTGATGAGGGAGGGGAAGGGAGAGGGGGTGTCTTTTTAGTGAAAAAGAAAAAAAGGAAGGAAAAGGAAGGTAAGAAGAAGAGGAGAGGGGAAAAAGGTAGAAGAGGGGAAAGGGAAAAGAGAAGATCGAGGGCGAAAGAGAGAGAGAGAGAGAGAGTAGTAAGAGAGCGAGAGGGAGAGTAGTAGCAAGCGCGTAAAAGAGTGAGCGCGCGCGCAAGAGAGAGAGTGTGTGAGAGAGTGACAGAGCACGAAGTACTACTACTAGACTAGAGCCTGTCTCTCCCGATGGCAGGCACCACAGCAGCAAGCAACAGCAACAGCAACAGCACAAGCAGCAAGTTCTTTTAGTGGCGGCAGTCACAGCAACGGCAGCAAATAATAAGCAACCGAACCCACCCGAGCGCTAAGAATAAACCACCGCACGGTATGGGAAAAGACGCCGTGACTTGCCAGACTTGTAAGAGAGTCAAAAAAGTAAAAAAACGTAAAATGGTTGCAGTTCGTTTTGGGACGGGAAAGGGAAAGGGCGGATGTCCTGATTGGGTCCGGCCGGCCGTGTTGCTGTCAACCAGCCAATCACCATCCTTGACGCTGTGAAAGTGGATACCCAACAGCCCCATTTGGCCAGTGGGTGTCACCCAATCAACGCCCGGTCGAAGCAGAACATCCAGCGTCTGCAGCTCTAAATTTAGCCGCCCGGGTTGGTGTGCAAAGGCTGGAATGTGCATCATGGGCGCCAAAAGCACGCAAATCAGATGCCAGATTCATCCCAACAGCGGCATGTCAGAGCCACCCCATCCCAGCATCCTCCTCCATGCTTTCCTCCTCTTCCTTCCCTTCTTCCCCCTCCTCCATCCTGGTCGTGGCAAGTAACCAGTCAGGTTGGCCCCATCGCCCGGGGGATGAAGGGAACGGAAGGAATTGGACGGGAAAAACTGGGAAGTGATGGTCGAGTGGGTAAGGTTCCGATACGGCGACAAGGGGGTGGAGAACAGTCATGAAAATCAACTGGGGGGAGGTTCCTCTCCAACATCATGAGTTGCAATCGTGACGGGGCATTTTCTTTTCGGGTCTCTCTGTGCTCTTTCGCTCTTTCGCTCTTTCGCTCTCTCGCTCTCTTACTCACTCTCACTCAATCTCTCAATCTCTCATTCTCTCTCTCTCTCTCTCTCTCTCTCTCTCCCACTTCCCAACTCTGAGTTTTGGTCGACTCAGTCGAGGTCTTCCCCAATTCCACATTGGGGTCCTCTTCGGAGAAGTCAGGTGCAGGAGAAAAGCAATCGATTAATTGGAAAAGGAAGGTAAAAGAAAAAGTAAAATGGTCTCCACAATAGGGTGCCACTGGGAAGGCTGCAAACGATAGTTGGTCCAGGAACAAACCAACAGAGGCAGTGAAGTGCGATGGGGGGACTAGTGTGAAAGGACCCAGAGATGACATAAACCCAGGAAGAAGAGGAAAGCAGCAACGTAACCGGAACATGGACGACAGTAGAAAAGGATAATAATAATGGAATAAAAATAAAACAGTTGTATACATACCTGTAGAGCTCTTCCTTTTGCTTGAAGGAGATGGTCCGTTCAGCCTCAACAGAAACCGGAGGTGAGGCTTGGGATCAAATATGCCGGTGAGAATAGTGACTCCAGGAAGAATTTCAATCCGTACACCGGTCAAACAATTGCAGAGCTCGTAGCGACGGTAGCTCTGGGCGTACAACAATAAGGAGTGTGGTCAATCGGTCAGGGTAGAAAAGATCAGAAGAAAAGAAAAGGTTAAGAAGACTTCCAGAAGTCACACAGAAGAATAAAAAAGACTGTCTGTTTAACCCACGAGGGTAATAATAATCAGACAGACCCGGCAGGATACGTATCCAAGCAACCTTCTGCACACACACACAACAATAATAATACCGTATTGGGGGAGGGTGTCCGACCCGCTGGGGAAGTGCACGGTTCGCGCAGGAAGGTTGTTTGCTGGATGCTTAATCAAAGGGTTCTTTGTGGTCAAGCCGGCTTGAGAGAGAAGACAACAACGAAGAGATGAAAAAAAAAAAAAAAAAAGCACGGGCAAACCCCTCCAAAACAAACCGGACGAGATAAAGCAGACTGCAAGAGATCAGAACTTAAGAGTACACAACTTTGAGGGGTAGAATCGCTTTTTTACTAGATGCGGATGGCGATTCAGCAGGGACCTCTCTCTGGCATCGAGCCTATGAGAAACAGGTAACGGCGCGGAGGGTCACAGGCTAAGGTGAAACGCAAAGGCTGACTTGACTGGGGCTAAGTTGAAGCGATCCACCATCCCAGACAAGCCCCTGGAAACGGTGGACCGTCCGTTATGGGCAGTGTGGGACGAGGAGAAACCGCGGCACGGTTGGTGCTTAGTACTCCGCCGCAACGAAAGAGAGTCCGAATTTCTGGATGATTTGTTATGGTTCGTTTAGCGGGATGTATCATCTCACGGTTTCAACCAGCGCGGTCGACAACCACAAGTCCCCGTATCAACCATCTCGGGCACACCCAAGGATATACCACACAGCTCCGGACCTACAAACCTCGCCATCGGCCACTGCAGCTGAAACACGCAGCCAAAAGAGGGCGCGCGCTAAGTCAAACCAATGGGGACGGCGGTGGAGGGGTTCAGCCCGGCTTGAAACACGCCAATCCAATGCTAAGCCACTAGTCCGCCTCCGGATGGGGCTCGCAGTCACGTGTGCGACATCCTCCGTCACACGCTGCCCGCCTATCAAACACTTGCGACCGTGGACGATCACAACGCCCGCTTGACGTGATTGAATTTGAGCCGGCTAACTATGGTCACAAAATTTTCACTGACGATGGGTGGGTGTACGCAATGATGTTCGTCTGAATGCTCAGACCTGAGGTCAATCATGGGGGTTTTGTTGTTCAATGACGTGCACTGCATTGCGTCGTTAATTACCAGGATCCTGTCGGTAAACCACGACTGTCTACGGCTGACCGAAGACTGCCGCGCTTACGGCTCCTCAAAAATAGAAACTAGTAGCAGCTGTAGTGCTACCCTGTCAGACCGTCAACCCTCACCAATCTCGCAGTTCTACCTGCCTTTCTACGAGCCAATACCCCATGGATTTGCACAAACTGTCCTTGCAACTGATGTCACAGATTTATAGACAATTGATGAAACTTGACCCTTCTGGTCCCAATCCCACGTGGCAGCAATGTCTATCTGAGACTATGGGGCCAGGGCTCTCTCCTCTGGTTACTGGTTGGAGCCATAGAACTTGGACCGCCCGTTCGGCATCACGTCGGTGATTGCTGTGGGGAGGGTTTGATTATGAAGTACGTGGGCGAAAATTTCCCCTCGCCAACTAACTTACTCTTTCGTCAGTTATCTCTCCTTTTGTCATTATTGTTGACTAATCGGTTGCGCACATAGTTAACTAACTAGGTAATTCTAGGCAGCACGAAAATTACAGAATAAAGTGGAATAGGTCGCCTTGAAGCTGGAGCTCCCTGGCGACCACGATCTGCTGCCGATGACAGAGCTGGCCCTAATCCGAGCAGCTAGACACGCTAATGTGAAACAGGTCCCTCAGATAGATTGTTTCGACAGAATAGCCTCGCAGCTTGCGCACTGAATCATTTGACGTTTGGATCCTAATCTTGTTGGAGGAGCTACCCCAACCAACAAGCTCTGTCCAGGTGCTTGCGGAACCAGGTTGGTTGGAGATTTGGGCGGTGCTGTTTCGTCTCAACCACATAGCAACTCTCTCGTGGACGGAATCTACCGAGTCGGTCACTGATCCTGAGCACTCCTTTGTACATGACACATGACAGCGTTTCCTGCCGTTGGTACCGGCCTGCACGGTCTGTTCCGCTCCACTGCAGCGCTGCTACCTCATCGGCTAATGCCATGATACCTTGATAGAGCTATATTGGCTGCCGATCTGTTTTGATTCGAGCTATGATACCCAAGCGAGGTGCCTCAGTTCACACTTGTTCGGATGTAACCGATGAAAGGGTCCTAGCTACTCAATGTCAAAGAGACAGCAAATCAATGCGTCGTTGCCTCATACATCTCGCAACAGGCTGCGTGGTAGATGAGCTAATGATTCGTCATGGTTCGCTTGAATTCGAGATCTTAACACGATCAACTGCTGTAGCACGGTCGCTGCACCAATCGTAGATCTAAAGGATTCGGCCGTAGTAGTCCTTGCTCGCTTTTCGGGATCGGGGTGCCATAGGCTAGAACGCGGTCTATGGCTGGCCCTCATTTATGTCCAATACGGGAGAAACTTAGACCGGATAAATTAGATTGATGTCCTAAGCCTGCTTCGGCCTAATCTCAAAGGGCCGCGGTCACCTGGGCTGCTGTCCGAGACGTTGGCATTCAAGCCGGACGTACAGTAGTGAACGCATGCAAACGAGCAGTCACGAGAGATGTCCAGGATTGAATTGACATTGTGACTTCCACTGTTAAGCTCGATCCAGGAGAGATGAAAGAGTCCGTCTCTGGACTAAACATTACGGCTGTTGTCATGATTGGAGTAGTACAGGATGATCTATGGTGTAGTGGGTAGAATCCCCTCGATGGTTTGACATAGAGCATTCCTATAATGGCTCGCAACTCGAGGCTGAAGGCGGCCCTTCAGATGGATAAATAGAAACAGCCATTCAATAAACTCTTTTGCTTTCTAATCTGAGTGTTTTTTTACTCGAATTTGTGTGCGACTGCCAGTGTGCGTCGACTATAAGACATCTTTACCGATCAAAACATGAAGATAGCGAGCTTGACAGTGATCCAACCACGGGACATTGAGAGTGAACCATGGTTGACTCCCTACAAGGTATGATGTCTTACTGGCGAAATTTTCACAGAAGGGAGACAACACAGAAATTTCTGGAGTATAGCCCTTCCACACGGACCATGAGGATCGTTGCTAAGCGAAGAGCGTAGGGTTGAAACTGGACCGTTGAAAGGGGAGATACAAGTTTAGATATGGCCAGTCTTGAACCCGATTTAGAGAGTTGATATCGGAAGGGTTTCAAAATGCAGGGAAACCCAGCCTCAATCCGATCTGAAAGACTTGGAGATGATATCACAGATCCGTCTTCGACAGATGTTATTCTCCGGTCTGACGCCTCCTCCGTCCCTCTCCGTCTCTCTGTCTCTCTCTCTCTCTCTTTTGCTCCTTCTCCCCACTGGCCTCTTTCGATCCCGTCCTTGACCAGCTCAAGCAGGTTAGCAGTTACAGAGTTGCCCAGCCACCCGCCAGCAACCGTTCCGTCCGCCGTTTTATGTTCGAGTTTTAGTATCGAATTGACCTCCTGTCCACTTTTATTCCCTGGCGTCCCAGGAATTTCCCCTCTTTTCCTTCGCCCTTGGAGCCTCAAGGCGAGTCAGTTATAATTAGTAGTACGTAGATAGGAGAAGAGAGAGATCGCATGGTAGATATTTTTAATTTGCGCATCGTAACCAGTATAATAATAATATATGATGTCCACCCCATAGGTCCACTTCATTGAACAGATCATATTATTTTCTCTCTTTTTTTTCCCTCACTCCGTGTTTTTTTCTTTTTCGTCTATTTGTTTGAGATTAATTTCCCCAGTGTCAGTTGCCTCGGATCGCCTCAGGATTCCGAGTGTATGACTGGAGGAAACGACCATCCAAGTGATTGATCGAACAATGCGTGTGGATGCCTGACCGGGTGGTGCAGTTGCAGATGTCCCCAGACGCAGCAGGAGCTGGCAATGCAGCCTCTCCTCCTCCCCTCCCCTCCACCTCCTCTTCCTCCTCCTTCTCCTCATCTCCAGCAGACCATCGTTTCAACACTCGACGCCGGCGAAAAACCGAATCCGCGGTGCACCCGCTCATCCATGTATCGCTCGAGGACCCGTCGGCTTCACTGTGTCGCCGTTCGATCGTGAATCGGGCCCGAACCATTACTTTCAGTGCTGGAGCGACGTCAGAGTCAAACCCAAATCTGACCGAGTCTTCATCCCCTCAACGAGTCACTCGTCCGGACGGAAGCCCGAGAACTCCGCCGGAATCCCAGGGAAGCCAGCCTCGAGCTCGAGTGCTCGCCCCGAGCCTGCGTAGTTCCGCCGTGGCCACCATGATGTTGCGAGCGGACGATCCCCGTGACGCGGGCAAAGCAGCCGCGCTAACAAGCCCATCCGCCGGCGCCAGCGACTCCCCTTCAGCACCGACAACAACAACACCAAGCGCTCCCATTGCCTCTTCTTCGCCATCGGCTTCCACCCCCGTTGCGTCGCATCTCCCCTCCTCCTCCGTGCCGCCCGTCCCTCGCCTCCCGCAGAGCCGTTTCAGCTTCGAATATCAGTATCCCCTGCGCAAGCGAGCCCTGACGTCGCACCTCAGCGCGGCCGCCTCTGTGCTGAACGGCGACGACACGCCCCCGGGTCCCGACCCGTCCCCTACTCCCCAGCGCACTTTCTTGTATGACAGCCCCCGGCGCTCTGTCCCCAACTTCCATCTGTCCCACCTTCGCGATCAGGCGCTGCTGAATTCGCAACCACCGTCACCGCGGCGGGCCTTAGAAAAGGAAAGCGACGCCGCGCTGCCCCTGGACGCCAACTCGACTGTCCGTGTGTTGAGTCCCAATGCAACGAAGCGTCGAAAGTCGTCCCTTTACGCTCAGCAGTCGATTTCGGACGTGAACAGCATCATGCCATCATCCACCGTGACATACTCCCAAGGGAGATTGCTGGCTGACGAGCGCAATCGCGCCATGAACGGCCTGGACCGTCAGGGTGACGGCAATAAAACCCCAGTCGCGGACGATTTTCGCTCCAAAAGTGAGGATGTATTTTTGAATATCGCAAGGTCGGACTCCGACCGTCGTGAGTCGCTGGGGCGCTCAGAACTCCGGCGCGTAAGTAACACCAGATCTGTGATTCCTGTCAATAAATTGGTATCTTGTAGACTGACCAGGCAATTGTAACGAACTTACAGTCGCGATTCAGAATGTCCGGTAGTGCGCTCCGTTCTCCAACCTCTCGGGTTGCCGAACAGACCCCTTCTCCCGAGCAACTTCGCTTGAATACCTACGACAGCCCCTTGCATTCCCAAAATGATCCTCCCTCCACCCCCCACACCTCTGTACCATACTCTTACTCGGCGTCCGCCCATCCACTGGATGAACACAGTCGTTCCTCCTCTTTGGCGTATGCTTCTGGCTCAAGATCTACCATTGGCCTCCCTCGAAGCCGATTGGGTCGCACCAGTCCAGAACCCTCCCCATACAGCCCTGAATCGCACCTCGAAAGACGAGGCTC